TGTAATGATCATGCTGTTTAAACAGCTTGATATGGCACACCTGTCAGGTGGATGGATTATCTTGGAGAAACGTTCACTAAAATGAATGTAAACAAATTTGTGCACAAGATGTCAGAGAAATAAGCTTTTTGTACAGATTGAACAGTTCTGGGAACTTGTATTTCAGCTCATGAAACATGGGACCAACACTTTACATGAGGTTGCCTAAGTTACTTGGTACTCTGCATGAGGGCTTAGAAAGAACAGCATCTTGTAGTCAGGATATTGAACTCGCGAAAATCTTCACAGTTGTCGAGCATGTAAAGCAGTGTGAAGACAACAGAACTACTGAAGCTCCCCACTGTTTAGATGTTCTCAGTGTTGATTGCTTAGGATCCTCTTCATGCTGCTAGTATTCATCTGATCTTTCTCATAGAAAATGGGTTTCTGCCCAGTGTGTCTAGGGCGGTCTCAATAGGCCCAGTGTTTATATGGGACTTTTGCCAATACTCCAAGTATAAACCTTCATAATCCTACCCTGGAGGAAATACAAATTGTTCATTATCATTTAGTTGTGGCTTATGTAATGTGTGGTTCTCTACTGTGTATGCCTGTATATGCTGTGTTTAAGCCAACACCTACAGCGTTGGATCCCAGATTTTAAAAAAGGGGCCAAAATGAGATCTAAAATTACCTCAATCTTACCTCACTGGTTCTCAACTTTTGATTGGTCTAGAGGAGCAGCTAATGACTTATTTGGTATTGACCACAGCGTTGCGATTCACTGTCTGCCAGGCTGCGGAAGTGCAGTCCAGTTTTAGAATTCGGAGATGAGATGACAACTTCGGATTCTGAACGTGTTAAATTCGAATAACTCATGCCAGTCGTGGCATCTGTATGCCTCTGAGTGCATGTGTCATTCATTACAATGATTGAAGACGGGCATGATGCGGCCAAATTCCCAAAGATAATTACAAATTAGACTTTGTGGAACGACACTTTGTTTTGTTTATTAAATGAGTTTAAGCTCAAAACCTAAGTACATGTAATGAATGCAAAGTGGGGACGTTAGCGAAAAACCTCTTCTGAATACTTATCAGAATTTCCGTTTGTCATTTATTTTCCCTATCACAATAAATGACTAGTTGTTTATAATGAATCTTCTGCCATGGATGGCAACATGTGGACAATTAGCATCCCAATGGAAATCATGGGATTGGAGAGACCATTTAGCAGTATAGATTAATGCAAGATGAGGCCTACCCTGGTAACAAGCTGCACCAAATTCCGATATGTTGACATCTGCTCAGGCACCATGTTTTTATTACATTTGACATTTTAGTCATTTAGCAGACGCTCTTATCCAGAGCGACTTACAGTTAGTGAGTGCATACATTTTCATACTGCAGGCCTCCTGTATTAAATGAGACGCTTGTGCGATTTAATTCAGTTTTATGCCATCTGAGGTCGTAATTTGAGCACAGATGGTCTTGCTTCTCTATACAGTCTTCAAATTCTATGAAAAAATCTCAATGGCTAAGAGCCTGTCTCTTTAGCAGGTACTCATAGGAGTACTGCGATTTAACTATAAGTGGGTTTTCAAATTGAGCCTTCTGGAGAATGGAGGCTCGATTTAGAATTTCACAAATGCAGGTTATTTTATGGGTGCGTGCTGGTATCATTCTTCTTGCCTGAAGAATGTTAAGTAGTTTCCTTCCATTTCACTACACAGACTAACTTATTTCTTTACTTTATCATCCAATGCTCAACACAGTGCCCCTCTCTATACCCCTCTCTATACCCCTCTCTATGCCCCTCTCTATACCCCTCTCTATGCCCCTCTCTATACCCCTCTCTATACCCCTCTCTATGCCCCTCTCTATACCCCTCTCTATACCCCTCTATATCCCTCTCTATACCCCTCTATGCCCCTCTCTATACCCCTCTCTATACCCCTCTCTATAGCCCCTCTCTATGCCCCTCTCTATGCCCCTCTCTATACCCCTCTCTATACCCCTCTCTATGCCCCTCTCTATACCCCTCTCTATGCCCCTCTCTATGCCCCTCTCTATACCCCTCTATGCCCCTCATATCCCCTCTCTATACCCCTCTCTATGCCCCTCTCTATGCCCCTCTCTATGCCCCTCTCTTATACCCCTCTATACCCCTCCTATACCCCTCTCTATGCCCCTCTCTATACCCCTCTCTATGCCCTCTCTATGCCCCTCTCTATGCCCCTCTCTATACCCCTCTATGCCCCTCTCTATACCCCTCTCTATGCCCCTCTCTATACCCCTCTCTATGCCCCTCTCTATGCCCCTCTCTATACCCCTCTATGCCCCTCTCTATAGCCCCTCTCTATACCCCCTCTCTATAAAACCCTCTATGCCCCTCTCTATACCCCTCTCTATGCCCCTCTCTATACCCCTCTCTATGCCCCTCTCTAAAAACCCCTCTGCCCCTCTCTATACCCTTCTATGCCCCTCTCTTAACCCCTCTCTTACCCCTCTCTATCCCCTCAAATCCCCTCTCAAACCCCTCTCTTTTGCCCCTCTCTATCCCCTCTCTATACCCCTCTCTATCCCCTCTCTATCCCCTCTACCCCTCTCTATACCCCTCTCTTACCCCTCTCTATCCTTCTATGCCCCTCTCTATCCCCTTTTCTATACCCCTCTCTATCCCCTCTCTTTTACCACCCGCTCTATGCCCCTCTCTATCCCCTCTATACCCTCTATTATCCCCTCTCATACCCCTCTCTATCCCCTCTCATGCCCCTCTCTATCCCCTCTCTATGCCCCTCCTTTTATCCCCTCTCTATACCCCTCTCTATCCCCTCTCTATCCCCTTCTACCCTCCTATCTATGCCCCTCTCTATACCCCTCTCTATACCCCTCTTATGCCCCTCTCTATACCCCTCTTATTACCCTCTCTATGCCCCTCTCTATACCCCTCTCTATACCCCTCTCTATAACCCCCCTCTATACCCCCCTCTATACCCCCTCTCTATGCCCCTCTATACCCCTCTCTATACCCCCCTCTATACCCCTCTCTATACCCCCCTCTATACCCCTCTCTATACCCCTGTATATAGGAATTTAGATCTTCCTTTTATCATCACAAAACTAACAAATCGATTTAATTCAACTAATAACGACCCCACATTCCATGCTGTTTTTCATTATGACAAGGGCAAAAAAGCAATTACAATAACTGTAGCTGAATGCCTCCACTAAAGTGTATCTTTGACTAAGTCAATTATATTTTCTATATAAATGTGATTTCATTATTCTGATACATCTCTGTCCTCTGTTATAACCATGCTGACTTAATGACTTTCTTCTTTGGAATACTGAGCCGTGGTGAATTCTTGGTATTTCTATGTAGGCGGCTGATGACACGCCTCCTACTGTAGTTGGACTGAAGTCTGCTTGTATACAGTACTCTCTGACTCTCCTCTGGTTTGTGAATGCATTATGCCTGGCACTTACTACCATACGCCGTTCAAAGGCACTTAAATATTTTGTCTTGCCCATTCACCCTCAATGGCACACGTACGTAATCCATGTCTCAATTGTCTCAAGGCTTAAAATCCTTTAACCTGTCTCCTCCCCTTCATCTGCACTGATTTGAAGTGGTTTTAACAAGTGACATCAATACGGGATCATAGCTTTCACCTGGTCAGTGTATGTCATGGAAAGAGTAGTTTTGACTGTCTGGATAAGTAGTTCCCAATCTCTTTCCCTCATTATTGTGGAGTAGATCTGAGATAGAGATTGACATTGCTCTGTGTTTATCATATCAGAACATGATAGTTTACCATAGCTGTCACTGAATGTTTCATTTCCTATCATACAATATAATCCTATGCAGTATTCACAAGTTGAAGTACATTACACCTGGTGAGTTCTGGGTATAAAATGACTGGTTCCCACCATTCAGTTTAATGTTATGACTTTCCCAGGAAAGCCCAGGGGTTCTGTCCCGTTCTATTCAAGCCGTGTAGGAGTGTAACAGCTATACTTTAGATATACACCTCTTTTATCAAGATACTGCTGTGAGCAAAATGATGTGAGCCTCATTCTGCAGAATACATTATGTGAGGGACCCGTGGTTTAACCAATACATCAGACATGCTCCTGAGCATCCCTCTAATCTACGTCTCTGATAGCAGATCCCACTGATACTTCCTACCATCTGGCTTCCCTTTTCCCAGTCCCTTATCTGATGTCATTTCCTCCCTCTTCCCCCCTTACCTGTCCCCCTTTCCCCTCACTCCATCCCTTCATCCCTTTCTACTGGTTCGACAGACTGAACGGTATTCTTTAACCAGCGGACAAGATGTGCCTCCCTCTCCCAAGGGTTGCCGTGCCTCCCCCTCCCTCTCCCAAGGGCTGCCGTGCCTCCCTTTCCCTCTCCCAAGGGTTGCCGTGCCTCCCCCTCCCTCTCCCAAGGGTTGCCGTGCCTCCCCCTCCCTCTCCCAAGGGTTGCCGTGCCTCCCCCTCCCTCTCCCAAGGGTTGCCGTGCCTCCCCTTCCCTCTCCCAAGGGTTGCCGTGCATCCCCCTCCCTCTCCCAAGGGTTGCCGTGCATCCCCCTCCCTCTCCCAAGGGTTGCCATGCCTCCCCTCCCTTTCCCAAGGGTTGCCGTGCCTCCCCCTCCCTCTCCCAAGGGTTGCCGTGCCTCCCCCTCCCTCCTCCCAAGGGTTGCCGTGCCTCCCCCTCCCTCCCCCTCGCAAGGGTTGCCGTGCCTCCCCCTCCCTCCCCCTCGCAAGGGTTGCCGTGCCTCCCCCTCCCTCCCTCTCCCAAGGGTTGCCGTGCCTCCCTCTCCCAAGGGTTGCCGTGCCTCCCTCTCCCAAGGGTTGCCGTGCCTCCCTCTCCCAAGGGTTGCCGTGCCTCCCTCTCCCAAGGGTTGCCATGCCTCCCTCCCAAGGGTTGCCGTGCCTCCCCCTCCCTCTCCCAAGGGTTGCCGTGCCTCCCCCTTCCTCTCCCAATGGTTGCCGTGCCTCCCCCTCCCCCTCCCAGGGTTTGTCAATCAAGGTGTAAGTCAGCTAGCAGACAAAGCCGTCTCATTGGCCCATGCAGGAAGGACCGGTGGAGGTGAGAGGTTGGCCCCTGCTCAGATGGGTTGGAAGCCCTGAGGGGGAGTAGAGGGTAATGACTGGGAGAAAGATGAGAGGAACAGATAAATCTGTCTCGCCGCCTCAAGGGGTTTCCTTCTTGTCTTGTCCAGGGCTGTCTCACAAACACAACTCTCACCACAGCTGCTTCCTAGATTTTAGTCTTGTTCTGGCTATGAGGTGTGAGATGTGAGGGATGTTATCTCGGGGAGCTGTGAGCCGAGCAGAAGATGAAGCTGGATAATAAAGTTTCTGTTTTACATTCAGACAAGTCCCAGCTTGCTAGACAGAAGTTTATGAGAATAATTAGGAATGTGTCTCCAATGGATTTCAGAGTTCTTTGTGTTTTGAACTACTGTAAACATTGACCTACAGTAACCCCTTTGCAAAATCTCAAGTTACCCCTATATTGCTGGGTATAAAATGTAGAGTAATATCTATAATTCATCATTAAGGAAGACACGTTATATAATGAATAACAGTATAATGTATTAGCCTAACATTCATTTATATTCAGTCTTTTAATAATTATCCATGTTTCCAGAATTTAATTGCATTGGTAATTTGACAACCCACAATGCCTGCAGATCATTCCAGATCCCAGTCTACGGTCTATTAATTACTGGATATAGATGTGTTCACTGCAACAACGTTGACAGACCAGCATTTGCTGTAGGAATCTGCATTGAAAGCAATTAATCAGTCGTTTATCTTAAACTGTAGAAACATTGGACTTGTGTTCATGCCTGTGGAAGTTTCTGTTCTGATGCCTGCTGCTTGATGCTTGTCCAAGGATATGTCTGGGTGCTTTGGTGTGTGTCTGCGTTTTAGATGTGTGTGTGTGTGTGTGTGTGTGTGTGTACATGAAGTATACATGTCTGTCTGTCTGTCTCCGTTACTGCGTGTATACGTGTGTTAGAATCTGTGTGGGTCTTTCTGTGTGTGGGTGTGTATCATTTCTAACAGCTGTTCCTATATATCCCACTGGAATTCAAGGTGTCCAGCGACAGATTGTTCACTGTGTGGAGAGGACCTCTGGGATAGTGGAAGAGGGCTACTGTGACCCAACGACCCGTCCTGACGATAAACGAGCCAGCTGCAACGAGGAGCTTTGCCCAGCCATGTGAGTTTTCCCCCAGGACCAGATTTCTACTGGGACAAGACCCACTGTAGGGCTCGCATGCTCTAAAATACACACACACGCACGTACATGCACACACAAACAAATCATACATGCGTTCATAAACACACTAGAAGGAACACACCCTCTCATACATGCACTAAGCATAAACACACACACACACATTACACTTTCTGTCTGTCTTTCTCCGTGGCCATTCCATTCAGATGGTGGGTGGGTGAGTGGCAGAAATGCTCGGCCACGTGCGGTGAGAAGGGCTTGGCCAAGAGGACGGTGCTATGCATCCAGGCCGTGGGTCTGGAGGAGAACAGAGCCCTGCAGCCCTCTGAATGTCACCACATGCCCAGGCCTGAGTCAGCGGCACCCTGTAACACTCATGTCCCCTGCCCCGCGGACTGGTCCACCGGCAACTGGTCAGAGGTGAGGAGACCATTCAGGGGAATGTGATCTGGCTCCAGCAGTGACTCACACAGAGATGGGAGAGGCTAAGGAAGGAAGGAACATCTGGTCTCGGCTTGTTTAATGTGGAAAGCATGAAAGAGCCTGGAAAATGCAGATTTTTCTGCACTGGGAGTACAAGTTGAAACATAGAGGCTAGTTTTACTCCGTTTCCACAATATTTGAGTGGAGTAGGCATGGGAAAGATTTTGTGGAAGCCCCATAGGGCGGCGCACAATTGGCCCAGCGTCGTCCGGGTTTGGCCGGGATAGGCCGTCATTGTAAATAAGAATTTGTTCTTAAATAAAAAAAAAGGTTAAATAAAGGTTAAATAAAAAAATGGAAGAGTAGGTGTACAGAACCATGTTGTTTATAAAGTTGGCACTATAACTGGTGTTTAGCTGTTGTATATATAAAGCTGTGTTATCGATCAGTTACCAATCTGTCCTAATCTGACCCTCCTCTGCTTCTCCCATAGTGCTCATTGACGTGTGGCGGTGGTGTGCGGAGCCGAAAGGTTGTCTGTTCCAGAAACACAGGGGTGGACTGTGACCCCCGAAAGAAGCCCAGTTCCCTTACTCCATGCTACCTCCAGGACTGTCCTCAGATCATAGACGTCTTCGGTGGCAGTAACGACTGGTCTGGCAGTGGCTCGTCCAGCAAGGAAATCAACGAAATCAACTCCATCCCTGATGCCAACCCCCTGCCCAAACACAGTACGACTAGAGCTCAGCCAAGGGCCCCTAACAATCTGAATAACATCATCCCCCAGCCGAATCACATTGACAAGACTACTGACAAGTCAGCCAAAAACAATGTACCGGTGGACGATTTTTACTACGACTACAACTTCATCAAATTCCACGAGGACATTTCCTATGACTTTGGCGTGGGGAACAATGGTGAAGACTTGGGGGATGATCTTGGACTAGATCCACAAAAGGAGACTAAGCTCAGCTCTAGTGCAGAAGAACATGTTTACAGAGAAACTACAGCAGATCCTCCCACAGCTACCTCACCCATTTCTACCACTTCTAAGACGACTCCTTTCATTAGGGAAGATGAGGAACCACATAACCTGGGCAATGCAGAGGTTGATGGCAAACCACAGACTGAGAAACCCAATGAAGTAGAGAGCGAGGAGGAGGATGTTCTCCTTTCAGAGGACTATTTTCTACCTGTTTCCACCACACCCTCAGCACCAGTTTTAGAGACCAGGTTTTCACAAAGATGGAAAGAAACAAAGGGTAATTTTGGTTGGCCTCATTACCTCAGCACAGCACCCAGCCCGGTGTCCACTAGCATGGGGACCACTGAGAACACACATGGGCCCCAGAGTGAAGAAGAGGATGATGGAAACACTGACATTTATGGCCATTTTGACGTGGAAGACGGCCATGTTGATACAGCTATCGAATATAGCACCACTGCCCCTGGCAGCCATGACTATGAAGATGGCACCTTACCCACAACCATGGTAGAAGAGGAGAAAGAAGAAGTGGGTGGTTTGGACTACAATTCCCACCAGGAGGCTGCAATTGGACTGCAATCCCCTGGCTCCCAAGATGAAACTGAGAGCCCGGTTCCACCCCTGGATCCACCTTCCCCAGGCCATGTGTTTGAGTTTGAAACATACGAGGACAGCTTTTTCACAACAACCCTGTCCCAATGGGAGACAACCACCTCTCTTCCATACGAGCCACCAGCCCCAGACTCCACTGAGGATTACAATGGCTTTTTCCCTGATGAACCAGACTTTGATCAGCAGGACTTTGAAACTGAGCCCAACACTGATAGCAAAGTCGATTTAAGGGTCACCGACAGTGACTTCACAGTGACCTCACAACCTGTCTCTCAGGAGCCACGTCTTCCACCCTCTCCTCCCCCGCCTCTTTCCCATTCACTCTCAGGAAACCAGGAGAACCTCAAACACAGCATATCAACAACTGGAAGTGACTCCCTATCTCCCACTCATCTGGAAGGAGACCCTCAGTCTCCACCTGGAAGTGACTCCCCACCTCCCAGTCATCTGGAAGGAGACCCTCAGTCTCCACCTGGAAGTGACTCCCCACCTCCCAGTCATCTGGAAGGAGACACTCAGTCTCCACCTGGAAGTGACTCTCCACTTCCCAGTCATCAGGAAGGAGACCCACCGCCGTTCATGTTAGCAGAGACAGAGCCAGCCACAGCCCAGTTAGAGACAGACATCGCAGCACAGTCCTCCACGACTGGGCCAACTCCATCTAAAGGGGCCAATGCGGGCCCTCCAGCTCCCTCCCCATACGGGTGGTCAGAGATTGACTACAATGAGATCCTCATCCCCCCCATGCTGAGACCCAGGGGCTCGGACCCTCCCCTCACATACCAGCCCCCAGTGGATGTCACCACAACCACTCCCCAGGATGGCACGAAACCCGTGCCCCTCAACCAGTCCCTTGAGCCAGCAGTGCCCCTCAACCAGTCCCCTGAGCCAGCCATGCCCCCCACCCAGTCCCTTGAGCCAGCAGTGCCCCTCAACCAGTCCCCTGAGCCAGCCATGCCCCCCACCCAGTCCCTTGAGCCAGCCGTGCCCCCCATCCATTCCCCTGAGCTAGCCATGTCCCTCACCCAGTCCCTTGAGCCAGCCGTGCCCACTCTGCCAACCCATTCTCCCACCCCACCCTGGTGGACACCAGAGCCAACCCAAGCGCCGAGCCCAGCTTCAACTCCAGTCGCCACAGCTTCCTTCTGGAGAGCCGGCCAACTGGAGCGCAGTGAGTTGCACTACTCTCTATGCATTCCACACATTCTCCCTGGTGTAAATGTGGGAGGAACAAGGCCCAGCAGTGTGCCACTATTAATGTCCCCCGTTCTTTTATTATGCTGACATACTGCAACTCTGGCCTCAGGTTTCCTACATAAACAACCCAACGCTTCTATCATGATGAATGGGTGCTCTCTGACCTTTTCAGATTGCCACGGGGAAATATATCAGCCCCATTTTTCCAACAGGTCATGACACAGTGCACGCTGCTTTCTGCCTGTGTTTTAAGAGTGAAATCAAATATGACTTGCACTCTCTCAAAGTCAACCACATTCACTCTGTACAGAAAGACACAACAGATCAAGTCTCTCGTATTCCATTGTGTTGGGTTTGTAAATGAGAAAGTATTTTGTCCTTAGTGACTAATCTCTATGTATCTGAATGGGCTGCAACTCTTACAGTGGATTACAAGACATTGAATGATGCATGGTTCACTCTACACTGCCTCCCCTTGTGTTGCAGTGTTCTACTAGCTGTGGATTGGGGGCCATCTGGAGGCTGGTGGTCTGCAGCACGGGAGTGGAGTCTGCCTGTGACCTGACCAAGAGGCCCGTGCCGGCCCGGCGCTGCTACCTCCGACCCTGTTCCTCCTGGAGGATAGGGAACTGGACCAAGGTGAGGCCCCACACCAGGGATGGGATGATAATGGAATGTTGTATCATGAGTCAGGGATGGAATGATAATGGAATGTTGTATCATGAGTCAGGGATGGGATGATAATGGAATTGTTGTATCATGAGTCCGGGATGGGATGATAATGGAATGTTGTATCATGAGTCAGGGATGGAATGATAATGGAATGTTGTATCATGAGTCAGGGATGGGATGATAATGGAATGTTGTATCATGAGTCAGGGATGGGATGATAATGGAATGTTGTATCATGAGTCAGGGATGGGATGATAATGGAATGTTGTATCATGAGTCAGGGATGGGATGATAATGGAATGTTGTATCATGAGTCAGGGATGGGATGATAATGGAATTGTTGTATCATGAGTCAGGGATGGGATGATAATGGAATGTTCTATCATGAGTCAGGGATGGGATGATAATGGAATACTAATGTTAGTAATAATAAATCAGTCAGTATTGTATCAAGCAACAGTTTTTATCACGATAACGGAATTGTTTCAGCACCGCCCCTCTCACCCTCTTTCGCCCCAGTGTTCCAGGAACTGTGCTGGTGGGGTGACCCTGCGTGAGATCCAGTGCTTTGACACCAGGGACCAGAGGCCTTTGCGGCCCTTCCACTGTCAGGCTGTGTCTACCCGGCCGGTGGCCCACATGCCCTGCAACCCCCAGCCCTGCCTGGACTGGTACTCTTCTTCCTGGGGACAGGTTAGTTACATCCTTTCCTCCCAATCCTCTCTCCTCATCTCCTTACCACCCATAATTATGCCTAACCTCTCACTGTGATAGTTGATGTGTAATAAGGAGTTACATTTTACATTTACATTTTAGTCATTTAGCAGACGCTCTTATCCAGAGCGACTTACAGTAGTGAGTTCCTACTTTTTTTTTTTATACTGGCCCCCCGTGGGAAATGAACCCACAACCCTGGCGTTGCAAACGCCATGCTCTACCAACTGAGCTACACGGGACTTTTAAACATATTTGCATACATGTTTTTACAAAATCACCATCACACTTTTGAAATTTCCACAACAAACCGATTCTGACCAGCAGTGTAATAAAATAAATGATATCAGCCCATTTAAAATACAATAAGATTAACAATTTTGAATCACCGAAACGGTTTGACTCGCTAGAATAAACTAAATGATATCACCATTCTAAATTCACACATAGATTTATATAGTGCTTTGCTGATGACCTTGTGATGATAAAAAACGGGTTTCATATGTGATACGCTTAAGTGTTATAGGTGTTACAATGACTTGTGATAGTTAGAACTTTATAAGGGGTTATCCATGTATATAGTTAAAAGAGGGTTATCACTGTTAAAAAAGTTAAATGTGTCTAAGGGGTTAGTCACTAGGAGGATATGAGATGTGTAAAGTTTCATTCACTGATATTATGTATAGTGGTTATCTCACTGTGATAGTTATGTGTAAAAGGGATTATCACTGTGATAGTTGATGTGTAATAAGGGGTTATCACTGTGATAGTTGATGTGTAATAAGGGGTTATTTTCACTGTGATAGTTGAGTGTAATAAAGGGTTATCACATGTGATAGTTGATGTGTAATAAGGGGTTATCATCACTGTGATAGTTGATGTGTAATAAGGGGTTATCATCACTGTGATAGTTGATGTGTAATAAGGGGTTATCATCACTGTGATAGTTGATGTGTAATAAGGGGTTATCATCACTGTGATAGTTGATGTGTAATAAGGGGTTATCATCACTGTGATAGTTGATGTGTAATAAGGGGTTATCATCACTGTGATAGTTGATGTGTAATAAGGGGTTATCATCACTGTGATAGTTGATGTGTAATAAGGGGTTATCATCACTGTGATAGTTGATGTGTAATAAGGGGTTATCATCACTGTGATAGTTGATGTGTAATAAGGGGTTATCATCACTGTGATAGTTGATGTGTAATAAGGGGTTATCATCACTGTGATAGTTGATGTGTAATAAAGGGTTATCACTGTGATAGTTGATGTGTAATAAGGGGTTATCTTCACTGTGATAGTTGATGTGTAATAAGGGGTTATCATCACTGTGATAGTTGATGTGTAATAAGGGGTTATCATCACTGTGATAGTTGATGTGTAATAAGGGGTTATCATCACTGATAGTTGATGTGTAATAAAGGGTTATCATCACTGTGATAGTTGATGTGTAATAAGGGGTTATCATCACTGTGATAGTTGATGTGTAATAAGGGGTTATCACTGTGATAGTTGATGTGTAATAAAGGGTTATCACTGTGATAGTTGATGTGTAATAAGGGGTTATCTTCACTGTGATAGTTGATGTGTAATAAGGGGTTATCATCACTGTGATAGTTGATGTGTAATAAGGGGTTATCATCACTGTGATAGTTGATGTGTAATAAAGGGGTTATCATCACTGTGATAGTTGATGTGTAATAAGGGGTTATCATCACTGTGATAGTTGATGTGTAATAAAGGGTTATCATCACTGTGATAGTTGATGTGTAATAAGGGGTTATCATCACTGTGATAGTTGATGTGTAATAAGGGGTTATCACTGTGATAGTTGATGTGTAATAAGGGTTATCACTGTGATAGTTGATGTGTAATAAGGGGTTATCTTCACTGTGATAGTTGATGTGTAATAAGGGGTTATCATCACTGTGATAGTTGATGTGTAATAAGGGGTTATCACTGTGATAGTTGATATGTAATAAAGGGTTATCACTGTGATAGTTGATGTGTAATAAGGGGTTATCATCACTGTGATAGTTGATGTGTAATAAGGGGTTATCATCACTGTGATAGTTGATGTGTAATAAGGGTTATCACTGTGATAGTTGATGTGTAATAAGGGGTTATCTTCACTGTGATAGTTGATGTGTAATAAGGGGTTATCATCACTGTGATAGTTGATGTGTAATAAAGGGTTATCACTGTGATAGTTGATGTGTAATAAGGGGTTATCACTGTGATAGTTGATGTGTAATAAGGGGTTATCATCACTGATAGTTGATGTGTAATAAGGGGTTATCACTGTGATAGCTGATGTGTAATAAGGGGTTATCACTGTGATAGTTGATGTGTAATAAGGGGTTATCACTGTGATAGTTGATGTGTAATAAGGGGTTATCATCACTGTGATAGTTGATGTGTAATAAGGGGTTATCACTGTGATAGTTGATGTGTAATATGGGGTTATCATCACTGTGATAGTTGATGTGTAATAAGGGGTTATCACTGTGATAGTTGATGTGTAATAAGGGGTTATCACTGTGATAGTTGATGTGTAATAAAGGGTTATCACTGTGATAGTTTGATGTGTAATAAGGGGTTATCCACTGTGATAGTTGATGTGTAATAAAGGGGTTATCACTGTGATAGTTGATGTGTAATAAGGGGTTATCATCACTGTGATAGTTGATGTGTAATAAAGGGGTTATCATCACTGTGATAGTTGATGTGTAATAAGGGTTATCATCACTGTGATAGTTGATGTGTAATAATGGGTTATCATCACTGTGATAGTTGATGTGTAATAAGGGGTTATCATCACTGTGATAGTTGATGTGTAATAAAGGGGTATCTTCACTGTGATAGTTGTTGTAATAAGGGGTTATCATCACTGTGATAGTTGATGTGTAATAAGGGGTTATAAACTGTGATAGTTGATATGTAAAAAAGGGTTTATATCACTGTGATAGTTGATGTGTAATAAGGGGTTATCATCACTGTGATAGTTGATGTGTAATAAGGGGTATCATTGATATGAGTGATAGTATGTGATGTGTGTGAATAAGGGGTTATCTCACTGTGATAGTTGATGTGTAATATGGGGTTATCATCACTGTGATAGTTGATGTGTAATAAGGGTTATCATCACTGTGATAGTTGATGTGTAATAAGGGATTATCATCACTGTGATAGTTGATGTGTAATAAGGGGTTATCACCGTGATAGTTGATGTGTAATAAGGGGTTATCACTGTGATAGTTGATGTGTAATAAGGGGTTATCACTGTGATAGTTGATGTGTAATAAGGAGTTTATCACTGTGATAGTTGATGTATAATAAGGGGTTATCATCACTGTGATAGCTGATGTGTAATAAAGGGTTATCATCACTGTGATAGTTGATGTGTAATAAGGGGTTATCATCACTGTGATAGTTGATGTGTAATAAAGGGTTATCATAATAATAATAATATGCCATTTAGCAGACGCTTTTTATCCAAAGCGACTTACAGTCATGCGTGCATACATTTTTTGTGTATGGGTGGTCCCGGGGATCGAACCCACTACCTTGGCGTTACAAGCGCCGTGCTCTACCAGCTGAGCTACAGAGGACCATCATCACTGTGATAGTTGATGTATAATAAGGGGTTATCATCACTGTGATAGTTGATGTGTAATAAGGGGTTATCATCACTGTGATAGTTGATGTGTAATAAGGGGTTATCATCACTGTGATAGCTGATGTGTAATATGGGGTTACCCACATAGTTCCCCTCATGCAATGTTAAGTGCTTTGAGACTGTCTGAAAAGCACTACGCACAGTCAGGGTTATCCTTAAAAGTGTGTGTGTGTGCGTGTGTTTCCCAGTGCTCTGAGGTGTGTGGGGGAGGGGAGCAGCAACGTCTGGTTACCTGTCCAGAAGAGGATCGCTGTGATGAGGACCTTCTGCCCAGTAACATCCAGGCCTGTAACAGCCAACCCTGTGCCCAATGGGTCACTGGCTCCTGGGGACAGGTAAGAGACAGATACTGTATACACACACGGCATAAACACACACACACAGCCTACAGGTGTTGCTGCAGGTGTTGTGTGTATGTGAAGGATGTACCATTGTGCCTTCATTCACAGTAATGTTGTATTATATTGTGTACCTACTCACATACACCCACACAGGTGCACATGAGAAACAGTCACAGACAATCACAGCATCATCCAACATGATTGTTTACGCTCTGCGGTAGTAGATGTTCTGTCTTCCACTTTAATGTGTGTATCAAAATTCAGCATTGTAAACAAAGCAATAGGAACTCCTAGTTAGGAGAGTAGAATGGAACTCCTAGTTGGAAGAATAGAACAGAATGGAACTCCTAGTTGGGAGAATAGAATGAAACACCTAGATGGGAGAATAGAATGGAAGTCCTAGATGGAAGAATAGAATGGAACTCCTAGATGGGATAATAGAATTGAACTCCTAGTTGGGAGAATAGAATAGAATGGAAGTCCTAGATGGGAAAATATAATTGAACTCCTAGATGGGAGAATAGAATAGAATGGAACTCCTAGTTGGGAGAATAGAATAGAATGGAACTCCTAGATGGGAGAATAGAATGGAACTCCTAGGTGAGAGAATATAACAGAATGGAACTCCTAGATGGGAGAATAGAATGGAACTCCTAGATGGGAGAATAGAATGGAACTCCTAGATGGGAGAATAGAATGGAACTCCTAGATGGGAGAATAGAATAGAATGGAACTCCTAGATGGGAGAATAGAATAGAACTCCTAGATGGGAGAATAGAATGGAACTCCTAGTTGGGAGATAGAATAGAATGGAACTCCTAGTGAGAGAAATAGAATGGAACTCCTAGATGATAGAATGGAACTCCTAGATGGGAAGAATAGAATGGAACTCCTAGATGGGAGAATAGAATAGAATGGAACTCCTAGGTGAGAGAATAGAATGGAACTCCTAGATGGTAGAATAGAATGGAACTCCTAGTTGGGAGAATAGAATAGAATGGAACTCCTAGATAGGAGAATAGAATAGAATGGAACTCCTAGTTGGGAGAATAGAATAGAATGGAACTCCTAGATGGGAGAATAGAATGGAACTCCTAGATGGGAGAATAGAATAGAATGGAACTCCTAGATGGGAGAATAGAACAGAATGGAACTCCTAGTTGGGAGAATATAATAGAATGGAACTCCTAGATGGGAGAATAGAATAGAATGGAACTCCTAGATGGGAGATAGAATAGAATGGAACTCCTAGTTGGGAGAATAGAATAGAATGGAACTCCTAGTGGGAGAAGTAGAATGGAACTCCTAGTTGGGATAGAATAGAATGGAACTCCTAGATGGGAGAATAGAAAGAATGGAACTCCTAGTGGGAGAATGAATAGAATGGAACTCCTAGATGATAGAATAGAATGAAGGAACTCCTAGATGGGGAAGGAATCCTAATAGAAAATGGAACTCCTAGATGGAAGAATAGAATGGAAGATGCTCTAGATGGGAGAATAGAATGGAACTCCTAGATGGGAGAATAGAATAGAATGGAACTCCTAGATGGGAATAAATAGAATGGAACTCCTAGATGGGAGAATAGAATGGAACTCTAGTGGGAGAATAGAATAGAATGGAACTCCTAGATGATGGAAAGAATGGAAACCTGAGATAGAATGGAACTCCTAGATGGGAGAATAGAACAGAATGGAACTCCTAGTTGGGAGAGTATAATAGAATGTAACTCCTAGATGGGAGAATAGAATAGAATGGAACTCCTAGATGGATAGAATAGAATGGAACTCCTAGATGGGAGAATAGAATAGAATGGAACTCCTAGATGGGAATATAGAATGGAACTCCTAGATGGGAGAATAGAATGGAACTCCTAGATGGGAGAATAGAATAGAATGGAACTCCTAGATGGGAGATAGAATATAATGGAACTCCTAGATGGAGTAGAACTAGAATGGAACTCCTAGATGGGAGAATGAGAATGAACTCCTAGATGGGAGAATAGATAGAATGGAACTCCTAGATGGGAGAATAGAATAGAATGGAACTCCTAGATGGGAGAATAGAATAGAATGGAACTCCTAGATGATAGATATAATGTAACTCCTAGATGGGAGAATAGAATAGAATGGAACTCCTAGATGGGAATATAGAATGGAACTCCTAGTTGGGAGAATAGAATAGAATGGAACTCCTAGATGGATAGAATAGAATGGAACTCCTAGATGGGAGAATAGAACAAATGGAACTCCTAGTTGGGAGAATAGAATAGAATGGAACTCCCATTGGAGATAGAATAGAATGGAACTCCTAGATAGAAAAGAATAGAATGGAACTCCTAGATGGAGAATAGAATAGAATGGAACTCCTAGATGGGAGAATAGAATGGAACTCCTAGATGGGAGAAAAAGAATGGAACTCCTAGTTGGGAGAATAGAATAGAATGGAACTCCTAGATGGGAGAATAGAATGGAACTCCTAGTTGGGAGAATAGAATAGAATGGAACTCCTAGTTGGGAGAATAGAATGGAACTCCTATGGGAGATAGAATAGAATGGAACTCCTAGATGGGAGAATAGAATAGAATGGAACTCCTAGATGGAATAGAATAGACTCCTAGATGGGAGAATAAATAGAATGGAACTCCTAGATGGGAATAGAAGAATGGAACTCCTAGATGATAGAATAAGGAACTCCTAGATGGGAGAATAGAATAGAATGGAACTCCTAGATGGGAATATAGAATGGAACTCCTAGATGATAGAATAGAATGGAACTCCTAGATGGGAGAATAGAATTGGAACTCCTAGATGGAAGAATAGAATAGAATGGAACTCCTAGATGGGAGAATAGAATAGAATGGAACTCCTAGATGATAGAATAGAATGGAACTCCTAGATGGGAGAATAGAATAGAATGGAACTCCTAGTGGGAGATAGAATAGAATGGAACTCCTAGATGATAGAATAGAATGGAACTCCTGATGTTGGAAGAATAGAATGGAACTCCTAGATGGGAGAATAGAATAGAATGGAACTCCTAGATGATAGAATAGAATGGAACTCCTTGTTGGAAGAATAGAATGGAACTCCTAGATGGGAGAATAGAACAGAATGGAACTCCTAGATGGGAGAATAGAATGGAACTCCTAGGGAGATAGAATAGAATGTAACTCCTAGATGGGAGAATAGAATAGAATGGAACTCCTAGATGGGAGAATAGAATAGAATGGAACTCCTAGATGATAGAATAGAATGGAACTCCTAGATGGGAGAATAGAATGGAACTCCTAGTTGGGAGAATAGAATAGAATGGAACTCCTAGATGATAGAATAGAATGGAACTCCTAGATTGGATAGAATAGAATGGAACTCCTAGATGGGAAATAGAATGGAACTCCTAGTGGGAGAATAGAATGGAACTCCTAGTTGGGAGAATAGAATAGAATGGAACTCCTAGATGGGATAGAATAGAATGGAACTCCTAGATGGGAGAATAGAACAGAATGGAACTCCTAGATGGGAGAATAGAATGGAACTCCTAGTTGGGAAGAATAGAATGGAACTCCTAGATGGGAGAATAGAATAGAATGGAACTCCTAGATGATAGAATAGAATGGAACTCCTAGATGGGAGAATAGAATAGAATGGAACTCCTAGATGGGAATAGAATGGAACTCCTAGATGGGAGAATAGAAAGAATGGAACTCCTAGTGAGAATAGAATGTGGAACTCCTAGATGGGAGAATAGAATGGAACTCCTAGATGGCGAATAATAGAATGGAATCCTAGATGGGAGAATAGAATGGAACTCCTAGTGGGAGAATAGAATGGAATCTCCTAGTTGGAGATAGAATAGAATGGAACTCCTAGATGGGAGAATAGAATGGAACTCCTAGATGGGAGAATAGAATAGAATGGAACTCCTAGATGGGAGAATAGAATGGAACTCCTAGATGAGAGAATATAACAGAATGGAACTCCTAGATGGAGAATAATAGAATGGAACTCCTAGTGTAGAGAATCCTAAAAGAATGGAACTCCTAGTGGGAAAATAAACTCGATGGGAAAGAAGAATGGAACATGGGAGCTGAATGACTTCTTTGAATAGAAAGAAGACTCCTAGTTGGAGTAGATGTATGAGAACTAACTCTATGAAGATCTCTTAGAAAAGAACTAGATTATGACGATGGTTGTTGGGGTAAAGAATAATGACACACTCTTATGGAGATAAAGGAATCTAGTTGAACGATAAAAGAAAACTTATTAATAAGACTTAAAGGCTCCAGAGAGATGAGAAGAACCTAGTGTAATAAGACCCAATGGGTGTTGCCAGGAAATAAATGGACCATTAGAAAAGAACTCCTTGAATATACTCCTTGGGATAATGCTCCTAGTTGGAGGAATAAGCTCCTAGATAGATGATGCTCCTTTAATAAAAAGAATCTGAGATGATAATCTTTGGAGAAAGAATGATAGTGGGAGAAGATAAGGAACTCTAGATGATAGAATAGATGGAACTCTGTGGAGAAGAATGGAACTGAGATGGGAGAATAGAAAGAAGGAACTCTAGATGGAGAATAGAATGGAACTCCTAGTTGGGAGAATAGAATAGAATGGAACTCCTAGTTGGGAGAATAGAATAGAATGGAACTCCTAGATGATAGAATAGAATGGAACTCCTAGATGGGAATATAGAATGGAACTCCTAGATGATAGAATATAATGTAACTCCTAGATGGGAGAAATAGAATAGAATGGAACTCCTAGATGGGAGAATAGAATAGAATGGAACTCCTAGATGGGAATATAGAATGGAACTCCTAGATGATAGAATAGAATGTAACTCCTAGATGGGAGAATAGAATAGAATGGAACTCCTAGATGGGAATATAGAATGGAACTCCTAGTTGGGAGAATAGAATAGAATGGAACTCCTAGATGATAGAATAGAATGGAACTCCTAGATGGGAGAATAGAACAGAATGGAACTCCTAGATGGGAGAATAGAATGGAACTCCTAGTTGGGAGAATAGAATAGAATGGAACTCCTAGTTGGGAGAATAGAATAGAATGGAACTCCTAGATGATAGAATAGAATGGAACTCCTAGATGGGAGAATAGAATAGAATGGAACTCCTAGATGGGAGAATAGAATGGAACTCCTAGATGGGAGAATAGAACAGAATGGAACTCCTAGTTGGGAGAATGAGAATAGAATGGAACTCCTAGATGGGAGAATAGAATGGAACTCCTAGTTGGCAGAATAGAATAGAATGGAACTCCTAGTTGGGAGAATAGAATGGAACTCCTAGTTGGGAGAATAGAATAGAATGGAACTCCTAGATGATAGAATAGAATGGAACTCCTAGTTGGGAGAATAGAATAGAATGGAACTCCTAGATGGGATAATAGAATGGAACTCCTAGATGGGAGAATAGAATAGAATGGAACTCCTAGTTGGGAGAATATAACAGAATGGAACTCCTAGATGGGATAATAGAATAGAATGGAACTCCTAGATGGGAGAATAGAATAGAATGGAACTCCTAGATGGGAGAATAGAATAGAATGGAACTCCTAGATGGGAGAATAGAATAGAATGGAACTCCTAGATGGGAGAATGGAATGGAACTCCTAGTTGGGAGAATAGAATGGAACTCCTAGATGGGAGAATAGAATGGAACTCCTAGATGGGAGAATGGAATGGAACTCATAGATGGGAGAATAGAATGGAACTCCTAGATGGGAGAATAGAATGGAACTCCTAGTTGGGAGAATAGAATGGATCTCCTAGTTGGGAGAATAGAATGGAACTCCTAGATGGGAGAATAGAATGGAACTCCTAGATGGGAGAATAGAATGGAACTCCTAGATGGGAGAATAGAATGGAACTCCTAGGTGAGAGAATATAACAGAATGGAACTCCTAGGTGGGAAATTCACAAACACATGAAAACTGGAACTGAATGGAAATGGAGCTGAAGCCTTGCTTTGAATAACACAGAAACACATATTATCGTATGTATGAGAACAACTCTATGAAGACTTCTCTTCAGCAAAGAATAGATTGACTGTGGTTTTGTCAAAACCTGCAATAATGACACATTCTTCTTATTTCATCATAAAGCAATTTCTGAGTCTGAACTATAAAACGACAAAAATGATTACTGACTTAAAGCTGCAGAAGATGAGCAAACCCCAACCTGTTTCAGACCTCATGCTGTTTCGCCAGCAATTACATGACTCATTCAGAGCCCACACCTCCCTCCATCACTCCTTCCATCCTCCCTCAGAAGTTGGAGCCAAACCAGCCTTTGATAGCAGCGAGTGCTGCTTTAATCCCAAACCACGTCAAAACTGCAAGAGACTATCTTTGCTAGGACACACAGAGAGAGTGAGAGAGAGTGAGAGAAAGAGAGAGCGAATGAGAGAGAGAAGAGAGAGAGAGAGAGAGAGAGAGACAGAGAAAGCGAGAGAGCGAGAGAGACAGAGAAAGCAAGAGAGAGAAAGCGAGAGGGAAAGCGAGAGAGAGAAAGCAAGAGAGAGAAAGAGAAAGGGAAAGCGAGAGAGAGATACAGAGAAAGCAAGAGAGAAAGAGAGAGAGAGAGGGAAAGCGAGAGAGAAAGAGAGAGGGAAAGCGAGAGAGTGATAACACACACACACCAAGTCCTCCACTAAGCGTTTGTGTTGCCTCCCTCAAGCTAGTGCCTGACCTAGCTTCACACGAGCACACACAGAGCCTGGCTCCCTATGGAGTTGTGTGTGCTATGCACGTGCCCACCTCAAGGGTTTGATGAGGAACGACTTTCACCATGATTAGAATGTGGGGGGAGATGGAGCCATCAGGCCTGCTGCTGTGTGTAATTGATGTGCTTTGATTTGCTCAGTGGTAATGACCTTAGGAGGAGGGAGATCCAGGCCGGGCCAGGCTGGGGTGACACACTATAGGAAGCCAGGAATCTATTGACGCGGGTAGCCTAGGTCTGTGGCAGATGCTGTGCATCTAATGTAATTACTGTGATCAAGAACACTCTATAAATGGGCTGATAGTTACTGCTCATTACCGAAAGGATCACTCACTGCCCATTGTTATTCAATGTTCTTGGTGAACTGTGATTAAATTGTGTTTTCCTGTTCTTCTGTGGAAACACCCGGTCTTGTTACTGCCATAGGATCAGATCATTATTGAACTTTTTGAAGGATTGCACTCCATTTCTTTATTTGTTAAGGAACACGCTACACGAGTACAGTATTGCAGCAGTTAGCCACATATAGCTATTCTCCATGTTACTTGTATTCCCTGTTTTGAAGATGTAGTGCTTTTGTAGTGCTCCTTTAAGTCTGCCTGTCTCTACACAATATTACAGAAGCAGTGATCTTGTTTGATCGTGTTTGCTTTCTGTTCTATGTGTTCTACATCTCTCTGTGTGTGTGTGTGTGTGTGTGTGTGTGTGTGTGTGTGTGCGCGCATGAAGTTGAACGCCTGTGTGCTTATGACTTAACGTGTGATGCAGCTTACAGCTTGACTATCACTGTGTCCAAACAGCCCTCAGTATATCAGTGTTTCCCCCATCCCAGTGCTCTGCATCCTGTGGTGGCGGCGTGCAGCGGAGGCTGGTGAAGTGTGTGAACACCAAGACAGAGGAGGAGGAGCATGCCCAGTGTGACCCTGAGCCCTGGCCAGAAAACAGCCAGAAGTGTAACCTGAATGAGTGTGACAGCGCTCCCGCTGGTGAGTAAACCAAACAACAGCTTTTCTGTCTTTAAATAATGTATATCATAATATACGCCATTTAGCAGATGCTTTCATCCAAAGCGATTTTATTGTCATGCGTGCATACATTCTACGTATAGGTAATGGGTGGCCCCGGGAATCGAACCCACAATCCTGACGTTTCAAGTGCCGTGCTCTACCAACTCGTTTCATTTCCCAGAAAATGCTACAACTGCTCTGGATTTAGCTGAATGGGTTCGATAGATTGACAGGCATGTAGGCAGTCACGCAGGAAGGCAACCGGGCAGAGAGAGAGAGAGAGAGAGACAGACAGACAAACAGACAGACTCCATTACCAAGTTACGGAGTCCGGTACCAACAATGTCAGTACAGTAAGCCAATAAATCATGAGAAGAACATCACCACTCTCATTTCATGGCCAAATTGCTCTTTGCCGTCTTGTAGATTTGTGCAATACAAAGAACTAGTTTTTCTGGCGCACTTTGTCAGTGTTCAAGGCTGTGGCTGTTATCACTTCCATACTCATAATTGACATTTTCATGCTCTGTGTAGGAGAACTCTTATGTCAGAGTTCTTTCACGGCTATACATTTCATAAAATATTTTATTAACAGTCGTTTAGTATCTACAGGTAACTGCCTAAATAAAGGGAACACCAACATAAAGTGTCTTAATAGGGTATTGGGCCGCCAGAACAGCTTCAATGCACCTTGGCAAAGTGTCTGGAACTATTGGAGGGATGCTACATCATTCTTCCACAATAAAGTAATTTGGTGTTTCGTTGATGGTGGTGGAAAACTAAGTCTCAGGCTCCGCTCCAGAATCTCCCATAAGTGTTCAGTTGGGTTGAGATCTGGTGACTGAGACACACACCCTTTAAACACCGTATGTTCCTTTGAGACCCCTCTTTCAAAGTCACTGAGATCTCTTCTTCTAGCCATGGTAGCAAAATGTATGGGCAACTGGGCATTTTTATACATGACCCTAAGCATGATGGGATGTTAATTGCTTAATGAACTCAGGAACCACACCTGTGTAGAAGCACCTGCTCTCAATATACTTTGCACTTTGTATCCCTCATTTACTCAAGTGTTTCCTTTATTTTGGCAGTTAAATGTTGGTTGCAAACTCATAAGGTGGTGAAATGCAATATTGTGTGCTAGCCTGTGAGGCATGCCAGCAAACTCAATGTTTCCTAGTTAGTTGAGAAAGACTGACTCAACAGCCATGTCTGATATAACTTCAAAAAGTTGGATGGCTAACTACATTTACATCATTTAGCAGACTCTCTTATCCTCAGCATCTTACAGTAGTTAGTGCATACATTTTTGTACTGGTCCCCCGTGGGGATCGAACCCACAACCCTGGATTGCAAGTGTCATGCTCTACCAACTGAGCCACGCAGGACACATTCATTGATCCTGTTTTGTCATATACACCTCTGAGAGAGTGAGAGAGAGAGTGAGAGAGAGAGTGAGAGTGAGAGAGAGTGAGAGAGAGTGAGAGAGAGTGAGAGAGAGTGAGAGAGAGTGAGAGAGAGTGAGAGAGAGAGAGAGAGAGAGAGAGAGAGAGAGAGAGAGACAGAGTGAGAGAGAGTGTGAGAGAGAGAGTGAGAGAGAGCGAGAGAGAGTGTGAGTGAGAGGCCATGCTCTCACAAGAAGCATGTTACAGTCCATGGAAAAATCCTAGTCAGAGGAAGGTGTGTTGACTTGCATGTGTACATCTTTGTGAATCCCTGGGGTTTAGTGGAGGGTCAGTCTGAATGCCATAAACAGCCTCCAGCAGGGATTGGACGCTTCAACAGCTCTCTGACCCTCCTGTTCCTCCTTCCACTTCAGCCTCTCTCCGATGGGTCGCTGGCTTTCTCGCACCCTAATTGAAGTGTGCCACCTGCTCCCCACCAAACACCACCCTAACAAGAAATGTGATCCTTGTGAGAAATGCGGCTGGCTCTTCTCTGTCGTCTGTAAAGCAAAAATAGAACCTAACTGTGCTAAAGATTGACCTTTAGTACGTATCATGCTAATGCAACATGACATATATTATTATTATTATATAGATAGTAAACATACTGTGAAATAAAATGGTCAACTGCTAATTAAAAGTCAACCAGTTTTAGGGCTGACCCAGGTTTTGTGCGCCTCAAGACTGTTAGCCCACTGAGCTAAAGCATTATCTTGGAAAGCTAACACACGTCTAACTAATCATGCAATTAGAGTTCACCGAACCACCTCTGTTACAGATGCGTCTAGAACAGTGGTTCCCAACCTTTTTTGAACAGTGGCACACCTTGATGGGATGAAGAATTTTCCGGCACACCTAAAATATCCCTATTAATTTATTTAGTGGTAATCACCTCCATCTCATCTGATCCATACTGAAAATCATCTATTTTCTGTGACAAACGTTTTTTATAGATTAAATTGGGTTTATTTGAACTATTTTCATAGTTCCTTAGTCATGATGATTAATTTGCGTGTACACCTTTTTAAGAGCGTCCCGCAAATCCCTGCTAGAAATATGTATTTAGTTTTAAACCGTTTGGGCTACAGACGAGTGGTTTTCTGCATTGTAATGCTGCAACCCTGGACACAAAGCCATGCTCTGTTTGTTTTTTGTTTCTATGGCAGAGGCTGTGGTACAACTAAACCTAGTCCCTGTGCTAATGGTTCTCACAGGCTAAGGAAAATGACACAAATGCTCGTGATGCAGGCCCCACAAATGATAATCAACGTAACAACAGCCTTAGGCACTGGATTTGAAACAACCAAACAGATGTATTCATGTGCCATTCAAGTACAAAATTCCACCTGCATTCCATAGGTCACGTTTATAATTGAGTGTTCCAAGAAATAATCAAGATTAGGAAAGTTTTGCGGCACACCTGAGAGTTCCTCAAGGCACACCAGTGTGCCGTGACACCGGTTGAAAACCGCTGGTCTAGAGCTCCACATAGTGTCATTCATTTTTGGCCCAGTTTATCTCTGCTTCTCTCAGCCGGTAACACATATTACAACTTTAAAGACTTTATCGTCAAGAGATTATCAGCAACTCGTTTGACTTAAAATTAACTTGAACCAACCTTTTGTCTTATTTCTACCTTTCTAGTCACGTCCATCTCACTCCAATCACACAGGGACCTTTGTCTTGCGGTGCATAATTACCTTGGTCACCCTTGAAATGGACTAACTGGCCTGTCATTTAAAAAACCCAGAGAAAATTGCCTTGGCAGTGCTTGTTAATTAAAATCTGATTTACACTGATGGGTGCTGTCACGGATGCCGCCGAGGCTGCTCCTCCTCCTTGCTCGGGCAGGCTTCGGCGTTCGTCGTCCCCGGAGTACTAGCTACTACCGTTTGATGTTTTCGATGTTTGTTTTGTCATGTCTAGTTAGTGCACCTGTTTTGTATTCTGTATTGATTATGTCACCTATAAGTTCCCCTATGTTATGTTTGTATCTTGTGTGTGTACTTCAATAAAAGATGTACGGTTATCACGCTGCGCCTTGGTCCGCTTCATCATGTAACGATCGTGACAGAAGATCCCACCACGACTGGATCAAGCAGCGTGAAGAGGAGAGAGGATGGACTTGGGAGGAGAAGAGTGAGAGTCTGGCGAGAGCCATGGAGGCCATGTTCACGGGGGAGAGACAAGCCCAAACATTTTTTAGGGGGGGGGCTCCCGCCGTGGACGACGAGGCAGCGGGAGGCCGCGATAGAGCGGTTCAGCAGGTTAGCAGAGGAGGTCGCCAGGTTACGGGGGCCACTGGTCACGAGGGAGAAGGAGAGTGTGGAGGCACGGCGAGAGGAACTGGTTAGGCAGCAGAGGGAGCGGAGGTTTATGAGGAAACCCAGTCCCGCTCCTCGCACCAAGCAAGTGGTGTGTGTCACCAGTCCGGTCCGGCCCGTTCCTGATTCCCGCACAAGGCCAGTGGTGTGTGTTCCCAGTACGGTCAGGCCCGTTCCTGCTCCCCGCACTAAGCCTGTGGTGCGCGTCGCCAGCCCGGTCCGGCCCGTTCCTGCTCCCCGCACCAAGCCAGTGGTGCGTGTCGCCAGCCCGGTCCGGCCTGTTCCTGCTCCCCGCACCAAGCCAATGGTGCGCGTCGTCAGCCCCCGGTCCTGCCTGTTCCTGCTCCCCGCACCAAGCCAGTGGTGCGCGTCGTCAGCCCGGTCCGGCCTGTTCCTGCTCCCCGCACCAAGCCAATGGTGCGCGTCGTCAGCCCGGTCCGGCCTGTTCCTGCTCCCCGCACCAAGCCAATGTGCGCGTCGTCAGCCCGGTCCGGCCTGTTCCTGCTCCCCGCACCAAGCCAATGGTGCGCGTCGTCAGCCCGGTCCGGCCCGTTCCTGCTCCCCGCACCAAGCCAGTGGTGCGCGTCGCCAGCCGGTCCGGCCTGTTCCTGCTCCCCGCACCAAGCCAGTGGTGCGCGTCGTCAGTCCGGCACGGTCCGTGCCTGTTCCACCGGTGCCTGGTCCGGCACCGGTCAGCTGCTCCACACCGGAGCCAGAGCAATCCGCTCCACCGGTGTCCAGTCCAGCTCCGGCCAGCGGGGCCAGACCAGACCAGGGGCGCTACGGGGGGTGTAGAGATAGAGTGGTGGTCACGCCCGGAGCCGGATCTGCCTCCGAGGCGGAATGCCCACCCGGCCCCTCCACTGTTGTGTTTGGTTGGCGCGGTCGCAGTCCGCTCCTTTGGGGGGGGTTACTGTCACGCCCTGGCTCTGGGGACTATTAAATGTTGAGCCAGGGTGTGGATTTTCTATTGTTTAGTTTTCTAGGTTTGTGTTCTAGTTCGTGTATATCTATGTTGGCCAGGGTGGTTCCCAATCAGAGGCAGCTGTAGCTTGTTGTCTCTGATTGGGGACCATACTTAGGCAGCCTGTTTGGCACTGTTATTTTGTGGGATCTTGTTCCGTTAAGGTTTGTTGTATAACCTAGGACTTCACGTATCGTTTCGTTTGTTGTTTTGTTCGTGTGGTGTAC